AACGAGCCAGGACAACCTCACAGACACACCCAGAAATGTGTTTTTATGTGATTCTAAATCAAGTTGAGTTAACAATGTAGATTAACCATCATAGATGCTGAATGAACAAGGAGATAGATCAGTCTCATAACTTAAGCATTATCCCTCCAAACTCTTATTTCATGGTTGAGGTATTGTCTATAATTTCCAGACTTCCTTCCCACATGGCTTACAGTTAGGGCTTCTGAAAAGGGGAAGGCCTGGGTGGAAAGGGGAAGAAGGTAAGAAAGAAAGGGCTTTTCGGGCTTCCAGTTCCTCTTGGGTCCTTTGCAGCAGCAAACTATGGTTCTGTGCTTCTCCAGCCTTATCTCCTGCCCTGCCATGCCTTCGCTATGTCCCTTGGACAGTAGGGATTACCCCCCAGTGTGCTCTACACCTTCTAGGCCTTGCCATCTGAACCATAAAAGCACCTGCCATATTGCATCTGCACCTGGATGTCAGCCAGAGTGCTCTAAGGCTCCATCACCTGCTGAAAAGCAGCCTTTCCCAAAACATGTCAGCCTCAAGGCAGGGGCTTCCCAACTCCTCAGTTCTAGCGTCAGCACCTGACCCTTCTGTCTTTCTAACCCGAAGAGTATTAACTGCCCCTAGCACTTTCTGAGCTCAGGCTACCTCAATGTCTCTTCTTTGTTCTTTTAACTTTATAGTAACTACAGAGCTAGTGTCCGGTAGAAGATCATCTGCTTGCAATACCAAATAATAATAATAATAATAAATGTTTACAGAATAGGCAAGAGCAAACTTAGCATTTTGAACCTGATTGACTTTGGGGACTGTTAAAAACAATAGTAAAGAAAACTCAAATTAAGCTTCATGAGTAAACCCTGATGGAGGACTGCCTCAGTTTCTACCCTGAACTCCTGCCTCTCAAACTCTGTCAGGCCAATAGTCTGCATGTGTCTGGTCAATAGTGGGTTAAAGTTACTATAGTTCACAGTGGTCCAGACATTTGTGTCCTCTGACTTCCTGCTGAGGTGCTGTAGAGTGCCTGAACTTTGCATGTATTAAATGAGATGTCCATACTGCTGCCCAGTTATGACCACAGAAGATATCTTCGAGGGTCCAAATAGAAAAGGGAGAGGTGGTGCTACTGTTGCAAGAGGAAATGCTGATTTGGAAAGTCTCCAGGATGGGAATGGAGCTCAATGGTGGAGCTTGTCTAGGATGTGGGAGACCATGGAGTCAATGCCTAGCATTGCAAAATAAGATAAAATGAATTTACATATATGCACTCATGTAATTAACACCATATAGCGTCTGTCTTACTCCACTTTCTTAGTTAGCTTTCTATTGCTATGATAAAACACTAACCAAAAGTCAGGAAGTTAGAACAGGAATTAAGCATGCATCTGGAGGCAGGAACTGAAGCAAACATCCTGGAAGAATGGACTTAGTGGCTTGCTCCCCATGGCTTGCTCAATTTGCTTTTATACAAGTCATGACCAACTACCTTGGGGTGGCAATGCTCACAGCATGCTGGGCCCTCCCACACCAATCATTAATCAAGAAAGTGCCCCCACAGATTTACTCACAGGCCAATCTGATAGAGGTGATGCCTTAATTGATGTTTTCCCTCCCCAGATAACTCTAGCTTGTGTTAGCACCCATTGAACTCTCACCTTGTTGGTAGTGCCCCCACAGATTTACTCACAGGCCAATCTGATAGAGGTGATGCCTTGATTGATGTTTTCCCTCCCCTGATAACTCTAGCTTGTGTCAACACCTTGTTGGCATCTGCAAAGACTACATATTAACATTTTCCTTTCACTATTGCTCTTAATGTTCATTTTAATCTGAACACAGAGGGGACAGGGGGACTTCCTGGTCCTTCCTCCCTCCTTTGCTGTAGGGAGACTCTTCTTTGGGTGAGGTGAACTATCACTAGGAAGTCAGATACTCATCTACCAGACCTTTTGTTTTGTTTTGTTTGGTGTCTATATGTGGTGTGGTTTTTTGTTTTCAAACTAAGACCAGCTATCATGGATGGATTGCTGGAATAAAAGCAACATGTAGTGGGAATAACAGCAAAAAAGCTATCAAGCAAATATGAGGCTTAAACTGTGGGGATTATTCATCAGCTATTCCTGATATAGTATAGAGCCTTCACTTTTTGCATCTGGTAGGAAGAAGGGAAAACAAAGAAGTGACTGGTTCACAGCCCGTGCTATACTTCCAAAGTTGATCATTTGTTTATTTCTTTTAAAGATTTGTTTATTATGTATACAGTGTTCTGTTTGCATGTATTCCTGCAGGCCAGAAGAGGGCACCAGATCTCATTTATAGATGGTTGTGAACCACCATGTGGTTGTTGGGAATTGAACTCAGGACCTCTGGAAGAATGGGCAGTGCTCTTAACCCCTGAGCCATCTCTCCAGCCCTTTTTTTTTATTATTAGTTTTAAAGAGCTTAAGCACGCTAACAGGGGCTGTGCTGGGCATAGCTCAGTGGGTAGAGTGCTTGCTGTGCAAGCAGGAGGATCCACACTTAGATCCTTAGGACACAGGTAAAAAGCTGTTGTGATGTTCTGGAGGGGCAGCTCAGAGGTTAATAGCACTTGCTGTTCTTCCAGAGGACCCAAGTTTGGTGGGGTTTTTTTTTGGGGGGGGTGTTGCTTGTTTTGGTTCTTTGGGGTGGGTTGGGGATTTTTGTTGTTTGGTTGATTGGTTGATTGGTGGGTGGGTGGGTTGGTTGGTTGGTTGGTTGGTTTTCAAGACAGGGTTTCTCTGTGTAGCCCTGGCTGTCTTGGAACTCAGTCTGTAAACCAGGATGGCCTCCAACTCAGAAATCTGCCTGCCTCGGCCTTCTCTGAGTTTTGAGATTAAAGGCATGTGCCACCAACCACTCAGTTCCAGGTTTGGTGCTTATAACCCTAGCTCCTGAGGCAGGCATCCTCATGTGGACTCTGGGCTTCCACAGCTGGAGTCCTCCCTCCCCCTCCCCCCGGCCGCCCCGCGCCCGCCACCACCACACACACACATACCACATGCTCACATACACAACAGATGATCTAACGGGCTTTCACAAACGTTTCTAATAATCATAAACATTAGCTTTATTCACAGATGCACTGCTAAAATGATGATTTAACACTGAAGCTCATTTTATATAATATACAGAGACATAAATGTGTATCTTTGAGTAGGCTTTCAGAGAATAATAAATGAAGTTTCTATTTCTGGTGCCCTGGAGATTTTTACAGTCTAGGAGAATGCAAGGTAAAATAATAGCAATATTAGAATGGGGAAAAAAAAAAAAAAAAAGACTCTGTAAAGAGGAAGAAGAGCAGGTTGTGCAGGAGAAGCTAAGAACCCACTAACCCGATCTGCTTTCAGGCACCTCAATTTGAGGAAGAAATAAGTAAGCAGGGAAAGTTGGAAACCAGTTCTCTAAATTTACTACCGACACAGGCAAATAGAAACCAAAGACTTGATAAAAAGCAAGGTTATGAGTTTAAAGAATATTAGTTTTAGTTTTTGTGGGCATGAGATTCAACACAGGTCCTCATGAATACATTACAAACACTCTATCAGTGAGTTACATTGCAGTCCCTAAAATATTCTTAAAGAGCCAAAGCAGGCTGTTAGGGTATGTCATTAGTGCCGCAATACCAGCACTTGGGAGGTGGAGGCAGGAGGATCAGCAGTTCAAGACCAGCCTTGGCTAAATAGAGAGCACATGGCCAGTGTGGATTGTATGAGAACCCTGTCTAGTAATGTTAAAAGAGCTGTCCTGAGTCAAATCCACAGAACTGTTTGCTGGTCTCTTATGAACACATGGAAATAAAAAGTTTTAATTAAAATAGAAGCTGAATTGTTTTAGAAAAATGCAAACTCAGTTCCCTGAGGGAATAGCAAAACTTTATGGTTGTCCTTTCTTGAATAGCTGAGATCCAACAGTGGCATCCCTTCCAACATCAACCATACTCTCACCATCCATACTGTTGAGTTGTAAGTCTCGAGCTCGGATGCCCAGGCTGCTCTCCAGGTTCCCTCAGCACTGCTGACAACATCCTACCAGCAGAAAGGGTCACACCAGCCTGAAGGAGACCCTGAGTTACCATAATTCTAAAAGCTTTACTCTAAAGATCAAATTCTATCTCCTAACTCAATTACTACAGAGCGAGCAACTTACAAGGCTTACTTACTTTAGGAATATGTAATTAATTATTCTTCATCTATGATGAAAACTACACCTACTATCCCAGATTATAGAAACCATTGGCCAGGATAATGACCATGTTTTGCTCCTAGCAGACTGGTCCATACATAGAAACTCAAACTTCCTGGATATTATTTCAGCACCCTCTCAGGATTGACTTGGACCAAGACAGATCCATCCACATTTTTATGAACTACACACAGCACTGACATACACAGCATACTGAGCTGAAACATCAGACCTGCTAGGGATACTTAACGGAAGCACTTCTTTTGGGTACACCTGAGTGGTCAGTGCCACTGCTCCTGCACACTGGAGCCCTTATTAATTCTAGCGTCATTTGAATGCAAACATTGTAATACTACAACAATTGACCTGACAAGCAAGCAGCTACCAAGTGTGTAATGAGCAAGGAAGTGGCATGGGTAATATTGATATACTGCTCAGTGCCACTGCTCCTGCACACTGGAGCCCTTATTAATTCTAGCGTCATTTGAATGCAAACATTGTAATACTACAACAATTGACCTAACAAGCAAGCAGCTACCAAGTGTGTAATGGGCAAGGAAGTGGCATGTGTAATATTGATATACTGGACAAAGGGATGATTCCTGTCCCAGGTGGACACAACAGAGGGTATGCAATTTCATCACGCTACTCAGAAAGGAGCTGCGTTCAAAACTGATGGGTTACTTACGTTTTCTACTTAATATTTCAGGACCAAAGTTGACTCTAGGTAGCTCAACCTACAGAAAGTAAAGCTGCAGGTGAGGTCACTAGTAACACAAATTGCAGATCAAATCTATGTCCCTGGTTTAGTTTATTACATTAAAAAAAGAGACAAGTAGCGGCACATACTTGGAGTGTAAACAACATTTGATTTCAATACTTTAATATTGAAATTTATTGTCATGTCCATCCAGTTTGTATCTTGGAAGTTATTCGAGAGGAACATGATGAAGCACTGTCAGCAGCTGAAACTACTATACTTCATCTCCAAATTCAGTCCTGAAATATCTTACTTCTTATTCACTGTGTTGCAGCAGGTATAAAATCAGTTAGTGCAACATGGAGGCACCGCTTAGGTAAACACCCTAGAGATGCGGATTTGCCATCCCGATTCCTTCACACTCGATGATGTAAGCGTCTTTGGAGGCATCTTCTTCCTCTTCTGATTTCTTCACAGTAAATTTGGCCTGGAAGCAGAACATTAGTATGTAAGGACACATGAAAAGCACAAAGTGACAATTCTAGAACTCCAAGGAGACAGGGTTAATATCGAATCCATTTGTTGAAGAAGGTACACACATAAAAATCAAAGGACTTGTGAAGAAATTCAATAGCTTATTTTGTCCTAGGACCATGGTTCTTGTTCACGGTTATGGAGTCTGTCAGAACAGAGAAATCAAGCTCACCTCCACGCCCAGTGATTAGGAACACAGAGGCATGTGAGCCAAGGCAAGTGTAGCTCCTGAAGCATCGATTGTTGTCGGCACCTTTCTCTTCCCCTTTGTTTTTCTAAAACATGGGTCTGAATCACTTACCTGTCAGATATGACAGTATTTGCTCTCAGTAATTTTTCCTGCCATTTAATTCTCTAAATGCATAATTCCAGAAGCTAGTTCAGAAAGGGTAGGTGAGGCGGAGGGTGACTAATATCCTTCATCAGTGAGCTTAACGCTCTAGTTCTCACTTGTTTGCTAAGCTGGCTTGGGAATATGTGATCTATCATGCGCTCTGAAAGCATCATTCTTAAGGTAAATGCAGTTCCTTTGAACAAAACTGAATTTAAGTCAAAACAAATGAATAGGTTTGAGATTCATTATGCCTGAAGTTTTAGGAGTCTCTAAACTACCACTTGAAACCATCCTCCTGTGGTCTTACTGACAAGCTTTCAGTTTTTGTTTATGTAACCGTGTGCTGTACAAGTGAGCATCTAAAAATCACTGTGGGATGAACAAACACTGAACACGGAGCAAGGGAGTCAAACTCTTCATGTAGTTATGCGTCTGCCTTTTTCAAATTACAAACATGAAAATATGAAAAACAAGTAATACGAATCATTTCAAGTTTATGTTTAAGGATACTTCCAGAGCCTAAAAGATGATCTACTTGAAGTCCCATATTTTTACAGATGTGCTAGTTGCACTGAAGCACAGAAAAAATGAAGACACTTTGGCCCAAGTCACCCAGTTAAAATACAACAAAGAGGCTGGGTGTGGTGGCACACACCTTTAATCCCAGCACTCAAGTTGTGAGTTCAAGGCCAGCCTGGTCTACAAAGCGAGTTCCAGGACAGCCAAAGTTATACAGAGAAACCCTGTCTCAAAAAACCCACACACAAAAAGAGCCAGGTGTGGGTGGTAAAG